GTGAGCCAGTTCCCCTCAGTTCCTACCACCCTACGCAATGCATGTGTGCATGGCTGCCAGGGTTAGCACTCCTAAGCGACCCTAAATTGAACTTTTTCTGCAATCTTTCCACGTCATACCTACTCAGTGAGGCTTTTATTGCTTTCCCCATTCCTTTCCCTCCACTTCACAAACACAGATACTGACTGTTCCTCAACTGTCACACAGAACTAGGAACTTGCACAAAGTTGTTGTTCTTAACTATCTATCCAAGGCTCCAATTACAACTCTTTTCAAACGAATGAAGAACACTCGTGGCCTCTGGAATTTTAATTATTTTATTACTTTGTGATGAGAGAAGCAATATCAGAAAAAGTGTTTGTCTCGATTTAAAATAGCTCTTACGACTACTGTCCTACCATGAAATAGTTGTGTTGCCTACTTTCTCACCTCCACACAGCTGACTCATCACTGCATGAAGCGGGTGTGAACATTACACGGACATTCCTTATCCGACGTCGAAAAGATGTACTTCTGACAGAGTATACTGGCCCCTTACTGCTCACTCCAAGACACTTAAGCCTACCTTTTTATGTGCAAGTCCAAAAATGATAAAAATAAAATGGTTACTGTTCTTGAAACCTTTTGAATACAGTCTTGAATCCTTTTCATTTCTCTATTTTGTGCCACCATGTCTCTTTCCTCCTCTGCCCTACTGCCTGTGACCCAGAAATTAATTAAAAGCACGCCATCTTGAAGGATGTCTCAATTCAAATTCCTAAAATGCATCTAGAGGAGAGAGGAGGCACGAGCAAGGATGTACAGGTGTACCCTAATGTTAGTAGCTAAAATCCCTGTAACTTATCCCCAACACAGCCTTTGACTGGCTGACTACAGACAGGTTACAATGCCTCTTTGGAGCTGGTATTTAGCTTTACTGACTCTAGTCACAGATGCTAGCAAGTTTTGTTTTTTTTCCAGAGAATCCCCATCCATACAGCAAGAGAACTAATCTGAAGTCACAGTAACAGACTGTAAATGATCCCAGCAAGAAAGATAATAGAGGAAAAAAGGCACTCACCTCCCATTGCAGGTGAGGTGGAATGTTTCTGATCTGCAGTTTCCTGGTCCTGTGGAAAGACGAAGGAGGAGAGGATATTAGCAAGTTAAAATAATTTGCAAACAGAAATAAAAACTTTTTGGGAGGAATAAATAAATCATGGAAAGAATCAAGAAGCACAGCATATCAGCGCAGTACACGTGAGAAACACTACGTCAGTGCATTGATGACAGATCTAACACTTTCCCCTGCTGTGTTAGGCTGAGGGTTCGGGGATGAAAGCAAGTGAAAGGAAGAAGAGGCCACTGAATGAAGCCAGGACGTGTCTTGGGAGACAAACAGGTGGAAATTGGAAGAGAGTCTGTTCCTTTGATGCGAACACCAAATCAACTCCATCTCCAAACTCCATCCATCAGCTCTGACCGCTTCAACTAACATACGAGCCCTGTTCATGACACGGAGCACTGAACATGAGACCAACCACACAGTCAGCTGCAGCTCCAAACACATCACTACTCAGCCATTGCATTGTGCTGTGTCGAACATGGTTTTTGTGTGCCGGCATCATTAAAAAAGAGTGAATGTTGCTTTTACTGTCTTTGTCTGTCACCTTACGGAAAGCTAAAAACTACAATCGTGTATGAGTATCTTTTTAGGGTTGTGAACCCTAACCCTGGATGGGTAACTCCCCTTGGAGGATGCCTTCCACACGTGCACAGGCATCTACAGGAAGACATGTCCATAATGCATAATGGCCGCACAGACAGTCCATGTGGTCTGGATGTATGCTGACGTCCACAAGGAGCCTATGAAAACGCCCTCAGATGATGAAATTTAGGTCACGGGGACACTAACGGAGCCTTGGTTACTCGCAGAAGCAAAAAAAACGTCTTTAGCCAACCAAGATAATAGACAGTCCACGCCTGTCTGTGTGTACATCTCACCAATGTACTATGTGTTTTATGTTGTAAAAGCACTGTCTGTTATCTTCAGGGCAGCACATACTGGCGGTGTCTTGACATGCTTCTTTGCGGTTTGATGGCAATATCCTTTTCCCCAGAACCGATGCATGTCAAAGCTTTAGAAAAGCAGTACAGCAGCTGTACAATATCCCCACTGTGAGCTACAGGCGTCACTATGCACTGCACTTAAGCCTTTTTCCCTTTTTACTGAAACTTAACACTTTCCTGTTAAGTCTCAGCACAAAGAAATGGCAAATTCCATCAACAAAAAGACAATTCTTGCCAAGAAAAGACTCTTTACGGCTAAAAAGCATACATGTTTCACTAGAAGACATCAGTGGTCAAGGCCAGCCAGGCTTTGCCACTCAATTCTGGAAGAACCAGCACCGTTGGTTTGGCTGTCAGGATTTCATGCCCGAATGCTACTTTGGAAACAAACCTTTCCATTTCAACTGCTCACAGATGGAGCAGTTGAGTGTGAGCAAAAGGGGGTTGGGATTTTGTGTCTTTCTCAGGGAGATATGTCTTGAATCATCGCAACGTGTCGCCCATGAGGTCCTGATATCCCTACACCATCTGTACCACTATCTCTCTGAACCCAGATAAACCGCAAGAAACGTCTTGTTCTTGGCTGCTGTACTCATTCCAATTCTTGACGTGACCACCAAAACATCTCTGGATAGGTGGGGGGGTGGCACTTTCCAAGCAAGTTTTTCATTTCTACTTTCCCAACACCCCTCACCCCCCTACATCTCCAACTGCTATAGTCCACCATTATGGGGCTCAAGCTCCAGTTGTTGGAGAAATCCACTGAATGAACAGCAAGTAGTGGGGCAGCTTCCTGCTCAACCACCCACGCACGCAGTGGGGGAAGGGTAGTCCACTGAATAGAAGGGTGGCAGTCGTGTATGTGTGCAAGTGCATCTTAATGCTGTATTTTTGCCAGTAAACATGTTTGTATCAGTTTTCGTGTCCGTGTGTGAGCACGTTGCTCGCTGTTATCACTGCAACGGTGAATGTGTGTATGCTTTCTTGGCTGCGTCCTGTCCTTAACGGCTGCATATGGACGTCCAGAGTGCTGACCCTCCTCCCCCTTTAGCATTCAATACATTAGGAACACAAAGCACTCCTTCGCTCTCTTGTGACCTCGCTGGGTTTTCGATTCTTGTGATCTCCTGGGGACTCTCATACTTGAGTATTTCTCAGTGACAAGAGGGTTTGATCCGTTGTGGTTTTGTCATTGATTCTGCTTTTCAATCCCATTGTCTTAATCAGTTGGTAAATACTTCAGAACTACAGAAAGAAAGAGTCTAAAGCATAATCTAGGTCTATAGCATTTATTTCAATTTCTCAATCCCTGCTGTACAAAACCAAGTTATCTCACTGAAAGGAGTGCATATAAATGAAACCATCACTTTTTTTCTTTTTTTTTCAATTTGTCGCATGGCTTAAGTCCCACATAAAATCAAACTCGAGGAAAGGGCATCTAGAATCAGCCTACACAGGACTATTTTCCATCTGTTGCATTAGTGCTGTGCCTTTGGCCCTCGGCCTTCTTACTGAAGCTGCTTATATTGAAATGTTTTAATGTGAAGCGTTCCATCTTTATCAGCCATTTCCATCTTTACCGCTCTTCATCCAACCCTGCTCCACATCCAACTGACCATCAATGGCCCTAAACCCCAATAACAACCAACCCCCATCTCCACCTCACACATGCATAACTTTCATACCCAACCCCAACCAAACCCACAGGAGGCTCCAGCACAGACGAATAGTCTTTTGTGCACCCAAAATACCTGACATCCCCCATCCAAAAAAAAAAAAAAGTGGAAAAGCCCTTTGATCCTCGATCAATACTCAGCTATAGCCGGTAACTCCACCCCCAACCTGCCAAACACATGAAAAACAGACCTGTTCTCCACACCTCCACATGTGTAACTCCCACCATACACATCAAAACCTTCATGACCCCTGACACACACACACACAAAGTTCCACCTTATCAACACATCAACTGCCCATTATCCTCTCCAATGCCCCAGTCCACCACACACATCCCAACCCCCAGCAAGCCACCAACAGTGAACTTTTTGACCCCTACCATCGCCGCCTGCTAACCCACGGCCTACCCCATTGGCTGAAACCATGGCAACAGGTAAGGAATGGGCGGGCAAAGAAGATGGATGAGCGGGCGGATGGACAACAAAACAACATGCATCACATTTGCTTGCACACTTGTTCGCTCATCTGTTATCTTTTCTTCCTCTTTCATTTCAAACATCTCTACCTTTTTCCTACATGGGGGCGAGCTGCCATGTTAGGTCTCCCATCCTCTGTCAACCTGAGCTACATGCTAAATAAACACTTAAAAATACTACACTATTCATTTCCAAAGGCCCTGACACATTATTGTATTATCATCACAATATCATTAAGACCAGGTTTATTAGGAGCATATATTGCCCTACTGTGACATGAACTGCATGTTTTAATATGCCTGAAAAACAACAATATAGCTGAATGGAATTGGAAGTGAATAACTTAATTGTCAAAATATTCCATTTAAAATAAATTTGCACCACTGAAAAAGAAATCTGCTCGGAGACCCTCATCATTGACTCATTGTTGTTATGCTAAGATGGAAACACATTGTCAATGAAGCTTGAAAATGTCTTAAGTCGAATGTAAAAACTGGAGCTGTTGAGGTTCCCTCAGCTGTGAAGGCATTAAATCCATGCTCAGCTCCAGCCTCTAGAGGAACAAAGGGCTGGAGAGAAAGAGCAGAAGAAAGAAAAGAAGCCAAGAGAATGAAAAGAGTGTGGTCCTCAAGGAGGAGCCGGAGGAGAGGAGCCAGAGGAGAGAAAAGGCTTTGCTCCTAGGAAGGGGTCAAAGGCCAAGGGTTAGAGCCCTCAGACCAGATAGAGGGGGTCCTGGGACCACAGCGAGGCGTGGCACTCTGTGTGAGGGCGTTGTCCTACACTTATAAAAGTAAAAATAAAATACAACGGAGTAGAGAATGATATATGAATCCTATCAGTGTGATCTTTTCAGAGTGAAATCAACAAGACTTTCCTTTCAGCTCTTTATTCTTTAAAGTCCAAAATTGGTTTTATTTATTGTGTGTCAGGGCACCACACCAACAGGTTCCTTTTGAGAGTCACTCCTTTACCCACTGATCTGCACAGTGGAACACACTCAGATATGGAGCTAATTGCCAATTACACCTCCACACTAGGTGCTACTGCAAGACTAATCGCAGCAGCAACTGTAACACAGACTGCTGCACGGTGACACCCAGCGAACGAGAACCTGCCCCTTCCAAATTAACACACCCAACCCTTTCTGATTGGTTGAAAATGGCTGTCAGGTATTAACAGTGCAGTCATGCTGTTGATGTGCATGTCTGGTGGTTGAATCAAACAATCACACTCAGTTTACGCAGTGGTTGGCCAGGTGTGCGGAGAGGTTAACGCAGGCCAGGTTTGAGCTTCTCCGCCAAGTTCTCTTATTTTGTTCTACTTCCGTAACTTGTGTGTACAACAGAGTGCCACGCCACAAATGCCTCCAAGAGACTCATCAAATCACAACAGGTATAAACAATTTCAACAACTCTGCACAACATAGTCCATTTGAAGCAAACTGAGGCCTTTAAATTCCCAAGTACCACTAAAGAGTTGCATTAAAAAAGGAACAAATAAATGTATATACCAGCCTCCATGAAATGATGAATAATAAAAACAATGTGATTTGTTTTTGTGATTCATGTGGAACACTAACTCACACACAAAGTAAGCTAGTGGCAAATATTTTACATATGAAATGGAAGATATCGCCTGTGAAAACATCAATTACACATGTGATAAATGTACAAATAGTGAAAGAAATCACAATCCTTTTCTTGTGAAATATTTCACATTTGCAGTGTAACTGTAGCAGTCTTGTGAAAACCACGTGTCCACTGGGATTTATTTATTTATTTGCTTAAGAAGTGTGAAATGTTCTGAA